GTCTTGATCCTTGAATATTCTGCTGCCCCCAATATGAGGTGTACTGGAAAGACTGATTTGGTATCCGTTTCCACCATATTCACACCTTGTAGGTGTTGGAACCGACTAATCAACTCTGGGTAATTTTGATTCACAACTGACAAGAGAGTTCTGCGGTCAACTTTTGTTACATTCACTGGGATAACAAAGTTTCCTTCTGTGTTGCTAACTTCAAGATTGTAGATTTCAACATGCTTCGTTATTGTCCCTGTGATGGTTTGAATACACCGCGTCAAGGTATTAGATGGATTGATCTTCATTAGGCTGAGAAGATATGCAGACGCATACGATGTCGTAGCTCCTGTATCCAGTAGTGCTCTACAGGTAATGCCATTTGCTTTGACAATAACAATGGGGTGACAAACTTTTCGCTCTTCGTGTGTTGCTGTCATAGCTGCTTGTCCTGGAATTTGGTTATGTGGAGGTTTCTCTAAAGTGTCACAAATTGAAGAATGATGTTTTTTCTTGCAGTGAAAACAGGTAACTCGACTTCGACACTGTGCTGCATGGTGTCTGCCACCCGTACAATTAAAACATAACTTCTTTGCTTGTAGCTTTCGTTTACGCTCAGTTGGTGTAGCAACCTTCTTACATTCATACAACTTGTGCTGTTCGTCATCACAGTAAACACAACCCTTTGGTGTTGAGGAATCTTTGGAGAAGAACGAATGGTTGCGGTTGTAGGGGGTCCTAGGGTTATGTTCGCTTGAACTTTCCACCGGGTGTATTGCTTTCCAAATTTCCAGAGCTTTTAATAAATCAGCAAATCCCCAATCTTGCCATCCAACCTGATTTGTGACCAACTTTGCCTTAATACCAGGTAATTTCTCTATAACACCCCGTACCATTGACAAACTCTGCGATAGTTTACCCAATGTCGTTTCTAACGATTGTACATTGTAGCTCAGGTTCTTAATAAATTCATGTATCTTGTTTACTTTCCTGCCAGTTATTGTAGGCAACTCTTGAATGTTTTTTACATATGCCCTAACAATTTCACTTGTATTCCCATGATTAGTTTTCAAAATGTTTTTAGCACGGGTGTACCCCTCCACGGTAAAGGGTAGCCCATCAATCTCATCACACACATGGGGCTCTAATAGTTCCTTTAGGTAAGAGAACTTGGTTACAGCTGGGAGGTCTGTATTGTCTATTTCAGCTTCAAATTTATTCCAGAAAAACAGCCATCTTTCATATGTACCATCATACTTTGTTATTACTAACTTAGGCATTTTAACACTGCTCACCTTTGCTTGTTCTGCCTTTGTTGACTTGACACTGACCGAACCCAAGCTAGCCATTTGTTCCAATTTACATTTTTCGAAATACAGTTCTTCGTCCCGTTGTTGTTTTAGCAATATTTTCTCCTTTTCACGTTTCTCGTTCTCAGTCCTCGCCTCGGCTTCTGTTAAATATTGATTTAAGTGTGATATTTCGCAATCCGCCTCATCAATCTCGCCTTCGATATCGACTCCCCATTTTTGAACATCTTCGATCGCTTCCCCGTCTTGTAGCTTGTCCTTTTCGCCTTGTATTTTAAGCTCTTCTAATTCTTTCACAATTTTCCCCAACGCTTCTTTATGTCGAATGATTTTGTCAAGATTTCCCTTCTCTAGAATCGCTTTCGTTTTGCTTCGTGTGAGTTTTAATAGTTGTCGCTCGGTGTCTATAAAATTATCTTTTTATCCATTTTATCTGTTATTTTCTGGGTTTTTTCGCTCACATATCCCGTGTGGAGGTGCCACGTGTTGTAAATAGTTTGAATCACTCGATAAAAGGTTTAAAACTTCTTTAATTCTCACTTAAACTTCGACATAAAGTAGATTTTGTGTTTCTTGTTAATATTATGCAATCCCAAGAAAAGCATGCGTTCTTCCAGGAAAAACTCCCACGCGTCTCGCGCGACTCTCACGCGTCCATAATTAGACTAATATTACGTCATTCTCGACACGGCTATTGTTGTTTCGATAATTTGGCTACTACAGCAAACACCCTGTTTCAATGGATAAAGTTCTGCATTACAACTAAATCGAATTCAAATGTATAAATAATTGAATTATTCGTGAACTAACCAGATGTATTGTTCAGTTTCTGCTCAACTGAAAGTTTCTAGCTTTTTATTGAAACTTCTTGTTGTTGACGGCTAATATTTAAAAATATTAGCCGTCAACCACAAGAAATTTCAATAAAAAGCTAGAAACTTTCAGGTGAATTCAGAAACTGAACAATACATCTTGGTTAGTTCACGAATAATTCAATTTCTCTAACTAATACTAAATCCAATTAAGTTTACTGTAAAGCATGATGAAAATTGAACTTGTAGGAATTCGAAGAGAGGAAAGGGTGCCCGAGATGTTCTGCACTCGCATACCACTTTTCAGGGACAACTCGCCTAATCTGAACAAAGGAAAAAATGAGTGACTTATGGTCTGCCAGCCTCGTAACCAGGCGCTTTAACTTGCTAGGGCATCGCGTGAATAGCGCGCGGGACTATTTCCACGCGTTTCACGAAACGGCATTTTTATTTAAAAATATTAGCCGTCAACCACAAGAAATTTCAATAAAAAGCTAGAAACTTTCAGGTGAATTCAGAAACTGCATGAACAATACATCTTGGTTAGTTCACGAATAATACTATTTCTCTAACTAATACTAAATCCAATTAAGTTCACTGTAAAGCATGATGAAAATTGAACTTGTAGGAATTCGAAGAGAAAACCATGGCTTCTTATTAAGGGACGGACCATTAGAAAAGTGAAGGGAGGGGGAGGGGATAAAACAAAAATGCATACAAGCATAAAAGGTAAAAAATAAAAAACATGCAACAGGAACGTCTCAAAACAAAATTGTAACATATCCATAAAAAAATTACATACATAATTGACAACCTGAAAAGAAATTGCAAACATGAAAAAAATACTCCACCCCTTCACTTTTCTAATGGTCCGTCCCTAAAGCGAATGCGGGGGTACTGCATCGTGGGAATGTCCAGAAGTGTCGTGCTGTACAAATGATGTTAGTACTAAAATCCTAGACTTGTAGTGCTATGATAATCCTTATGATGCATACAGACTGAAACTATGTATTATCGATCTCCGCAACATGTACCGATTTCGATTTAGCACTTCAGAACCAAATATGTTAAACTCTCTATCATATCTCCAAACAGAACAAAAAACACCAAATCATATAGTTTTCTAGTATCTGATGACCAAATAGATAAAAATTCCAGATATCTCAGCCACAAAGGGTCCCTTTTAAGTTCAGGTGGGGAATACTTTAGCTCATAAAAGAATAAAGTAAGGCGCATCAGCGCGCATCGCCACCTCGCAAGAAGGCATGCCGATAGTCCGATTAACCCGTAAGTGGTAGCAGTCTCCCCTTGACGAGTAACATCGTCTGGCGTTAGACAGAGTAAAATAATCTGGTGCTAGAATAATAAAATAATAAAGTAGGGCATATATATCAAGGCCTATTTATTGCCCTTAAATGGTTAAAATACAAGGCTAAATTTAATGGCCACTTTCCCCATGGGCACTATCTCCCTTGCATTACTTTCTTTCTATGTGAACATGAAACATTATTTCTGGAATTTTAAAATTCTCAGATTCCAGAGCTATAATCACATATGATATGTATATGACATGTAAGAAGAGACAAACCATATTTACTGCCAGAAGTATGTTACTTTGGGCTAAAGTATCCTCTGTATACTGAAACTGGATAGGTTAAACAAAGAAAAAACCAAATGGCTATTTTGTACAGGTGGGCAATGTTTTTAGTAATACTATCGAATAAGGATTTAAACAAATACCATCCCAACTTGAAAGAGCACAATATCAGAACACAACAAAACTATTTTGAAGCATAAACGGAAAAAACGAACAAGATAGATTACATAAATTTTTTAATTATGTATCAGTTTTACAAGTACATACACAGTAATCTTCTTTTTTATACCTTTCTGAAGCCGATTTGCTTTGGAAGGGTGATTTAATGTCGCTGAAAAAGTTTATCGAAGATGAATTACAAATTAGCGGCAGATGGTCATCACCTCGAGGGGAAACAATCCAATTCAGTAATCCTGAATTTTGTTTAAAATGGCATGGTCCAGGTGAGCAAAAGATAGCCAAGTGCAAGACAACGAAGAGAAGCAATTGTACGCTGCCCTGAAAAGCTACGCTGCTGTTACGGAGTCTACGGATAAAAATTTTGCTAAACACGTGGTGAGTGTTGTTGTCGAAGCCGAAGGTGAAACAGAAAAAGTCGAACACAAATTGAAAGACAAACATTGCTGCGGACAGTGTGACTCCTATAAAGAAAAAATTACAAAACTACTAGCTACAGTCACTGAAATTGTAAAGAAACAAGAGGAAGATCGACAAAACAACCACCTAAATGATGCAGAAACAAAGGCCAAGATACAAACACTTGTCGAACACAATGACAAGATGGCGGCTGAAATAGAATCGCTGAAGGCCAACGTAGAAGAAACCACAGGAGACAACAAACTTATCAAACATGTTCTTGACATCAAACAGGGGGAATGGACCAAGGTAAATCAGAAGAAAATCTCGAGAGAAGAAGAAAAAAACGGGACAACTCGAAATTCCATCATAAATCAAAACCGTTTTCAATATCTATCCTTTGAAGATATCACAAACAACATCCCAAATCTTGAGGAATACAAAATAGAGCAAACGAGCAACAGCGTGAATCGACAAATGAGTGACTACCGTGAAAGAAACAGACGCAAATATGAAAATTCAGAAGTAAACCTAAAGGCAAAGAAAATATCAAAGAAAACTCAAAGGCACAGCACTGACAAAGACAACAGCACAACTTCCACACCACGAACCCAAGAAAGGCAAGAGAAGAGTGTTCTTGTGATAGGGGACTCCATGGTGAAAAACATTGACGATAAAAAACTTGAAAGGGCTGCAAGTACAGTGGAGCGACTGTGAAACAAATTGAAGAAAAAATCGATCAGTATTGGAATGAGAATCAACAATATGAGAAAGTCATCCTTCATGTTGGAACCAACGATCTGGCTCGCCAAGAACCAAATGAAGTAGCCGAGAATATGGAAGCACTCGTAAGTAAAATGAAAACCCATGCAAAGGAAATTGCAGTTTCCAGCGTTGTCAAAAGGTATGACAATAAGGTTAAACCTAGCAGTATTATGCAATATAATAATTTATGACATGAATTATGCATTAAGCATAAAATTGCATATATTGATAACAATTGTATAGACAAGCCATTGTTAAATCGATCGAACCTCCACTTAAACCGAAATGGTGATAAAGCTCTGGGTAGTGCATTCTGTGCATATTTGAAACCCAAAACAGCCACAAGAATGCCTGTATCATCTACAATGAACAGTGAAAATTTTTTTGGGCCAGCTCAAAGACACCAGATGAGAGACTGGACAAAATACCTAAGATATGTACACCAAGTATTACACCAGTAATTTGTAATAATTTGACAAACAAAAATGTGAGTAGCAACTTTTCCACAACCCTAAACTCTATTCCCAATGAAAGAGGTTTTAAAATGGCCTTTTTGAATATTGTTAGTCTGCCTAAAAAAATAGATGAAATTCGGCACTCCATGTCTAACAAAACTATTGATTTAATTGCATTTAACGAGACACGGCTTGATTCAAGTTTTACTGATAACTTGATTCATTTAGACGACTATGATATAATTAGAAAAGACAGATCACGAAATGGTGGTGGCGTTTGCATATATTTGCGTAGCTCCATGAATTACAAAATCCGATCTGACCTAATTCCATCTGAATTAGAGGCTGTTTGTGTAGAAATTATTAAACCACACAGTCAACCATTTGTTGTTACAACTGTTTACAGACCACCCAATGCATCATCAGATTTCTTTGACCATCTTGAAAAGTTGATCAAACAAATCGATGATGAGAATAAAGAAATGTATTTGATGGGTGATCTAAATTGTGACATGTTAAAAAAGGAAAAGCTTTCTAATGTGCCAACAAAAAAACTGAACTCATTATATGAATTGTACCAATTGTCTCAATTAATTGATGAACCTACTCGAATTACAATGACAACGTCCAGCCTCATTGACCATATTATTACCAATACACCGGAAAAAAATTCTCATTCTGGTGTTATTCACACTGGAATCAGTGATCACAGTTTAGTATTTGCGATCAGAAAAATCCGAATTATGCAAAAGAAAGAGAAAAACACTGTTGAAATAAGAAATATGAAAAATTTTGATGAAAAAAAGTTTGTTGATGAACTTTTAACTCAGCATTGGGAATATGTTTATTTTTTTGGCAATGACCCAACTGCTATGTGGGAAATTTGGAAGGAACTTTTCCTAGAAGTATTAGATAAACATGCACCACTCCAACAAAAAAAGGTCAGATCTAGCAAGATCCCTTGGATCACAAGTAAAATTAAGAACCTCATTAATACACGAGACAAACTAAAAAGAAAAGCAATTATAAGTAAATCAGAAATAGATTGGATAAATTACTAAAAAGTTAGGAATCAGGTGAATATTGAATTAAGAAATGCTAAACAAAACTATTATTCCACAGGAATTGCAGGTCAAAAATGTAATCCAAAGAAAGCGTGGAAATCCATAAACAATTTACTAGGCAAACAAACCAAACAAACTGTAGTGAATGAATTAAATATGGGTGAAAATATTTTAAACAATCCACAAGAAATTGTGAAAGGCTTCAATGAATATTTTTCAAATATTGGGCCTGATTTAGCAAACTTGATATGCCCAAATGCAATTTTGAGACATATGTTAAAAAATCTACATCAGAATTTGCTGCATTCCAACCTACAACTGTTAATGATATATTTAATTTATTGTGTGGATTATCAAGCAATAAAGCAACTGGCATTGATAAGATTTCATGCAAAATTATTAAGATAGCTGCACCTGCCATTGCAGATTCGCTAACACATATATTTAATCAGGCTATTACTTTATCGTCCTTCCCTGATCAATGGAAGGTGGCTAGTGTAACACCTCTCTACAAAAATGGTCAACGAAATATTCCTGGAAACTACAGGCCAATTTCAGTTTTACCAGCAATAAGCAAAATCATGGAACGAATTCTGTATAATCAACTATACAATTATTTAACCAAATTTGGATTATTAAGTAACTCCCAATTTGGTTTCCGGAAATCTCACTCTACAGCAACAGCATTATTAGACTGTACTAATGAGTGGTATGTTAATTTAGATAGGAAACTATTTAACTTAATAGTTTTTATTGATTTAAAAAAAGCATTTGATACTGTTGATCACCATATTCTCCTAAAAAAGTTGGAGTTATATGGAATAAAAGGACAAGCTCTTTCTTTTCTAAAATCCTATCTCACAAATCGTAGCCAAAAGTGCAAAATGAATGGATTTATTTCATCAGAGCGCCTGATTAAATGTGGTGTACCACAAGGTTCTATTTTAGGACCATTATTATTTCTGTTGTACATCAATGACTTGCCCGAGTGCCTTAATATTACAAGACCTCGACTATTTGCTGATGACACAAATCTCACAGCTTCTGGAGACTCAATGAACGATGCTGAGTTTGCAGTAAATTCTGATTTAGAAAACCTTAGAAATTGGTTAATAGCCAATAAACTCAGCTTGAATGTAGCTAAAACTGAATTCATGTTGATTGGCTCAAAACGAATGATAAAAGATTCTCACCCAAATATTTTCATTGAAAACAAACAAATCAAGCAAGTTTATGAATGCAAAACTCTTGGAATAATAGTTGACCAACATTTATCTTGGAAAAGTAATACTAAAAATATTTGCAAAAAAATAACAGCAGGAATCTCTGCTCTCCGTCGTATCAAACCTTTTGTTGACAAAGATACACTCATTTCAATATATAACGCTATTGTTCGTCCACACTTCGATTATTGTTGTGAAGTGTGGGATGTATTAGGTAAAACTCAGTCTAAACGACTTCAAAAACTCCAAAATAGAGCCGCTCGAGTCATCATGAATATGAGCAATGATACTGATTATTCTATTGCTTTACATGCCTTGGGCTGGGAGCCACTTAAGTTGATGAGAAAAAAAGGCAAAAGCAAAACTGATGTACAAAACTTTGAATAAAATGGGTCCAGAGTCACTCGCAAATCTTTTTACCTATAAAAGTGAGGTGACAAGTCACAAACTTCGGGGTATTTCCAGTGGTCTTTGTTTGCCACAACCTCGAACTAATAATATGATAAATAGTTTCATGTACGACGGTGCTCACATATGGAATTCTATTCCAAGCGAAATTAGGGAGTGCAAATCCTTATCATGTTTTCAAAATAAAATTGCTACTCACATTTTTAATTAAAACAAGAACCTAAAACAACCTTAAATATAAACCTGTAAATATATATAGATTTACTTAGATTTACTTAGATTTAGTTGATATTATCTTTTGTAATTAGCTTTTGTAAATATTCTTGTACTTTCTTATTGCACGCCCCCTGTGGAAATCAGCTTCGGTTGACAGGGTTAGCGTGGGTAAATAAAGTTTTTACTACTACTACTACTACTACTACCAGCCTAGACCTAGGCCTTCTAGTTCTAGTCTTATTACCTCCGCCAGGACGTTATGTAATCATCTGGGTTTGTATGTGTGTGTGTTTGTCTGTGAGCACGATAACTCAAGAAATACCAAACATATCCGTACGAAATTTTTTGAATGCATTTCCCATCGGCTAAGGAAGAACTGATTAAAATTTGGTTGAATTTGGTTAAAAATTGAACGAGAAATGAACAAAATTTTGTCTTGCTTTTCCCGGTCAATTAACAAAAAATATTACTGAATGCGTAATTAGGACGTGTATAATTTATGCACTCAGTGCTAAGACAATAATGAGATGATAAACCTCATTAAGCTTCGGCCTTCATTACCTCCGCCAGGAGGTTATGTAATCATCTGGGTTTGTATGTGTGTGTGTGTGTGTGTGTGTGTATGTGTGTGTGTATGTGTGTGTGTGTGTATGTGTGTGTGTGTGTATGTGTGTGTGTTTGTCTGTGAGCACGATAACTCAAGAAATACCAAACATATCCGTACGAAATTTTTTGAATGCATTTCCCATCGGCTAAGGAAGAACTGATTAAAATTTGGTTGAATTTGGTTAAAAATTGAACGAGAAATGAACAAAATTTTGTCTTGCTTTTCCCGGTCAATTAACAAAAAATATTACTGAATGCGTAATTAGGACGTGTATAATTTATGCACTCAGTGCTAAGACAATAATGAGATGATAAACCTCATTAAGCTTCGGCCTTCATTATCTATTGTCTTAGTTGCATTTCACGCGACCGAAATTCAATGTCTAAAACAAGGCTTACGGAGTTACGCATTATTACGTTCAGCAAAGTGCCAGTCCATTCAAATTCTAACAACATTTAACAACATTAGATTACTTCAATACAGGGTGTATAAAAAGAACGCAACCTCGGAATTTCCCAAGAAATCGACATTGTTTTAAAGACAAAAGATTTTAGCTGCCTGGGAATTTAAAATAGCACAACTGTGAAAATTACTGCACGCGCGAGTGCATAAAGCAAAATTTATGCATTTATTTAATGACACTTAATAAGTTTTTATTTTACAGTACTGTACAGTACAACAACAGTAATATGTTCTATTAGCAATTCGATTTCAATTCGCGGGGGCCTGAAATCTTTATGCTTAAGAATTGTAAAGTGGATTTCTTAGGAAATTCCAAGGTTGCCTTTCACTTCCGAGTAACGGGCGGAGGTATGCAGTCTCTGAGTGCCCTCTAGTTATCTATTGTCTTAGTTGCATTTCACGCGACCGAAATTCAATGTCTAAAACAAGGCTTACGGAGTTACGCATTATTACGTTCAGCAAAGTGCCAGTCCATTCAAATTCTAACAACATTAGATTACTTCCATACAGGGTGTATAAAAAGAACGCAACCTCGGAATTTCCCAAGAAATCGACATTGTTTTAAAGACAAAAGATTTTAGCTGCCCGGAATTTAAAATAGCACAACTGTGAAAATTACTGCACGTGCGAGTGCATAAAGCAAAATTTATGCATTTATTTAATGACACTTAATAAGTTTTTATTTTACAAGTACTGTACAGCACAACAACAGTAATATGTTCTATTAGCAATTCGATTTCAATTCGCGGGGGCCTGAAATCTTTTATGCTTAAGAATTGTAAAGTGGATTTCTTAGGAAATTCCAAGGTTGCCTTTCACTTCCGAGTAACGGGCGGAGGTATGCAGTCTCTGAGTGCCCTCTAGTTTATATTTTTTTAATATTTAGCGCTTTTTCACAGGAAAAGACTGGCACTAGGTGATTTGGGGGCGGGGCGGAAGAAGCAAGCCTAGAAGGCCTAGTGGATTTCCCAACAACAAGGCCAAAACTGCCCTGAATCTGCCCTGGTTGCGAAATCGCCCAATTATTGCGTTCTCGAACAGAATTATATTTGCAACTTAACGGCGAATTTAAACCGATACGGGTAAAATAAACTCATTTATAGTATAAACTTACTATTTTTATTTGTATACACGTCTAGAAAATCGGGTTTTTTATCATAAAGTTCGAAGCAACACTATTATTTAATTATATGTTGACAAGGTGTAGCGAAAGCACAAAATGAGTCAAAATATAAACCAAAAGTAGAATCTTTCATGAAATTTTGTCTTATACACAACTACATTAATATATATTTTCTCAATTTTGGCAAGAAGCAGTCTTGTGTTTGTAAAATATACAAAATAAAACGGATACATATATTATTAGCCCATACAGTACTGTATATAAAAACGTACATTGTTTACAAATGGTATATCCGTAATATTTGAACAATAATTTCAAAATCCTCATACCCAATTCGCAAATATAGTTATTCAAAGCAAAACAGTAGATTGTCTAGCGAATAAATTATTTTGTGCCGTTTCGCTACACCTTGTCAACATATATAAATAGTGTTGCTTTAAACTTTATGATAAAACCCCGATTTTCTAGACGTGTATACAAATAAAAATAGTAAGTTTATACTATAAATGAGTTTATTTTACCTGTATCGGTTTAAATTCGCTGTTAAGTTGCAAATAATTCTGTTTGAGAACGCAACAATTGGGCATTTCGCAATCAGGGCAGTTTCAGGGCAGTTTTGGCCTTGTTGTTGGGAAATCCACTAGGCCATTCTGTGACTAGGCCTTCTATTTTTTCGCTTGCGTCAGGCTTGTGTCCTTCCTCCGCCGCGCCCCCAAATCACCTAGTCCCAGTCTTTTCATGTGAAAAGCGCTGAATATTAAAAAAATATAAATAAAAATAGAAGGCCTAGGTCTAGGCTGTACTACTACTACTACTACTACTACTACTACTACTACTACTACTACTACTACTACTACTACTACTACTACTACTATAACAAGGGCCGGAAGGTCCACTTGTGTTTTCCTCCTCAACTTGTACTGCAATGGTGTTTGCATTGACGGTCATCAGATTCACATTACCAGAGCTGTTGTGCGTTCCACACATGGGTATGATCCATACCCCATTTTCCCCGACACAGAATACGTGGCCTCCAAGCGTAGCCACATTGCTACAACCATAGATGCGACACTGTGCTGGCCATGGACGCGTGTTGTGACCACGTTTACCACCTATATAAAATTGCTTCCACGAATTATAACTTCGTACACCGCACATACTACTGCCCTCGACGTTCTGCACTTGACTGCCACTGGGCAAGGTTATCTGGCTGCAAAACATGAAAAAAAAATTGAGAACAAATCGTTTACGTCGCTTGTACACATTGTCATTGCCCAAAACAAAACAAACCAAGCCAGCAGTTAATTTGCATATGATATAACTAAAATTACATAAATGCGAGACCTCTCAAAAGCCAAAACCAGCCAAAAATTTAAGAAGATAAAATATAAAACAACTGACCGAAAAATGAAAACATTTTGAAAATCTAAGATACGGAATAAAAAACAAACACCGAAAATAAAAACATTTTGAAAATGCAAGATATGGACTTTAAGCAAGGCGTACATTTTAAATGGCTATACTTCGATCCTCTTTGGCAGAATCATTTTCAAACCAACTAGACCTCTCGCCGCTTATTATTTATATAATTTCTAAGAGCACATCCGACCGCTCGTGTTGCATCGGATCGTCTGGGGTTGCATTGCTATTGGGGTTAAAACCAGCCTCGTACCCATGCTCTTTAGTAATTAATAGCGTTTATAGAGCTCTGGGTGAGCTATTCTCCGCGCGCCTAAAAGCTCACCCAGAGCTCAGAACGCTATTAATTACTAAAGAGCTTGAGTACAAGGCTGGGTTAAACCAGTGGGTTAAACCCACGTATATATTTATATGCCTCGCGATTCTCTCGCAAGACCAGTTCAAAAAGCGAGCATGCCGTTTTAATAAGAAAAAACTAAAAGGAAATCTATTAGGAAATTTTACCTGAATAAATGAAATTAAAAGAAAGTTTTCAGCGCTGTTAAAAAGCTTCTTTTTGTAAATTTTAAGCCGGTTTTCGACAATACATCTTCATGTTGACGGATTGACCGCGCTCTTCGCACGTGTGAAAAGACTGGGTCAAATAGACGCAAAATACGTGGTCAATTTTCATGCACTTCTGGGGCCGGTTGTTTAAAAGGCGATTAGTTTAATCCTAGGTTAACTTAAAATTCAAAGTACACTTCCTAACAGCTTGTTTTTAAATTTGGAAATTTTCACAAATCATGTCTGGATCAATAGAAGTTTTCTTTTTTGACATTTTGAAATAAATGGTCATGCAGAAATATGTAAACTAAAACAGCGGGTTAAATTTTAACCCTGGGTTAGCGCTAATCCACATTTGAACAACCGGCCCCTGGCAATTGTTGCTTATAATGGGTCCCCATTCCCCAAAAAAGAAAACAACGCAAATCACTAACAACTAAGTCAACTTATATCCTAAACAACTATAAAAATTTTAATATCTTACTATACCATTCCATATCTTGCAGTTGCATATCAGTAAAACTAATATTCAGTAAACCCCTCGCTATAAACCCTTTCCCCAACAAGCTCCCATTCTGACCAATAAACTCCCCGAAATGAATAAGCCATGACGGAAGCCCTTACTGCAGTGTGTAGTACGTTACCCACACGCGGAAAATCATGACTGGCAAACATTAAATAAATCTTAAATTTGAAGTTACCGGCTCAGTAACGCAAGGTAAAGTGGTGCTGTCTGAGGCAGGTTTCCGCTGAGTTCCATTAAATTACAATATCTGCAGTTGATGACAATATGTTGAGCAGGGGGTATAGGAGAAACCAAATTAGAGTTTCTATAGGTTTCTGTTATATATAAGTAATTCATGGTAACATGAAATAAATGTGCATTTCCGCTGGATACTCAAGAGTCAAGTACAGTTTAAAACACTCACATGCTCATCTTTTCGCTACTTTTCCCTTCTAAAATAAAATCCTTTCTTCAAAATTTCTTGTCGTGTTCCTAAGAAGAGAACGCAGTGTCAATTGTAGACGAGTAACGAATATTTAAACAGTTAACTTCGACAATTCACAAATACAATGGAATATATATATCTTGTTTCAAGTTTACGGAACACCATATAGAACATCCAAAAATCGATTTTTTTATTTTCACATGTTTAGAAAGCTTAGAAATGAAGTTTCTCACATACAAGAAAAATACCCACTATATACTTAACCATGCACGTGCAAAAATGCAACATATCAAACTCTTTGTATACAAAAAGTCTATATCGTGTTATATATCGTGTTATCACATACTTGTACCTTTATCAGGTAAGAAGCAGCGGGACATAAAAACGATATCGTCCCGGATATCTTTTTAGTCCTGGATATCGTTTTTTGTCCCGGATATCGTTTTTTGTCCCGCTAAATTTCGCGCATTGTCAAAACAAAGATGGCCGACTCGAGGTTCGTGTTGGTTGATGTCGACAGTTTATCGAAGAAAACAAGAACGATAATACAAAATGAAAGACTTAAATTGTATATTATTTATATGAATGGTCTATTTATTTTCTAAAATCATATTTGTTCAGTAAATGATGAATTGTTTTGAATTCTAAAATGATCCTATTTTTTCAAAACTGTTTACTTTTGGGTGTCAAACCCTGATAAAGGTACAAGTATATAATAAATAGGATATCGTACTCGGGATTCGGTGATATCAGTTTCATCGCTCTCGGGACGATATCACAATTGTCCCTCGCTCGCTGCGTTCGCGGCTCGCTCGTGACAATTGTGATATCATCCCTCGAGCGATAAAACTGATATCACCTCATCCCTTATATGATAACCTATATTTACAGACCAATATAACCCCCAACGGCGCGCCATGAAACTCGTCCAAAATATGCGGTTTTTCTGTTCGCCTGCTTTGTAATTGTACGTTGAAAATAATATTCACTCGGTAACGGAATATAAAATTTACACGTACGTTACACATTTGTTAGTGGTTTTGGTAAAGGTTCGTCGCATTCCGGAGTCGAACTTGGGGGGTTGAAAATCGCGCGCTATATATAAGAACCAGACACAGTACTAAAATGCGGTGCCTACATGCACAAGTAAAGTTATATTTAGCACGCTATACATTCTGTCGGCCGCCAGTTGGTCCGTACGTTAGGATCAAAACTGCGTTTTAAGGTTACAGGACACCCTTTTTGGCGTATTTCAGAAAATCGCTACTGCGCGCTCAATATCAGTCCGATTTTCATCAAATTTTCACCAAATGTTCTCCAGTGCATGTAAAATATGGTACTGTTGTAAAATTAACAAACAATAAAATAATGTAAGAATTATTCAGGAAAATCTTAAATCGCGGTACCGTTACGCTTTTGAGTTATGCTCCTGCTGGTTTTAAGTTATATTTATGAAAATATCATTTTTATACAGTAAGATAGTTGTTCTAAAAAATTGTGTTCGGAAATTTTTGTTTATTTCGTCATTCCGCTAATATGGCGATTTCTTTGACGACTGCAATATATTTCTGAATTGTTTGAG